TTGAGTGAGGCACGATTCCCTCTGAGCAAATTCTTAAGAGCTGAGTTCTCTCCCACTCAAAGCAAGGGAGTGAGAATGAATATTTATAGGGATAACCTTGAATTTTCTCTAATTTTAAAAATGTGAATCATTTTCAAACTTTGGTGCTTTATTATTATTTGCCATGGACCACACAGCTGCTGCCTTAGTCCTTCCTACTCTTGCATGCTGCAATGCTTACCCCCATCCATATCACGACTTGATGAAAAACCTTATCATCTAAGGTTCGATTTAAACGCCACCTCCTCCAGCAAAGCAGATGCTGTCTGTGCCTCAGCCAAATTCTGTCTCTCCACACCATTCAAGTTTATAACTCTTTGTCTGGGGCCTTTCACTGGCTATACAGGTACAGACTCAGCCCACATGTGGGACAGCTCAGAAGTAATGGAAAGGTAACACTCCTGTGTAAAGTCCTCAAACAAGGATGTACAGAATTTGGTAAATAAATACTTCATCTTTCTCCACTTCTCACAAGGAGAACAATACTGAGGTGTATCCTTAACTAACTCCCAGAGGTCCCCAGTGAGATTGAGTCCCCATTGCCTATAACAGGAACATGTTTATTAGTGCACTCTCTTTGGCTTCCTGGGCTCACCTTCCAAATAAATCTTGTGCCCAAATACTCTAGGTATCTACTTCCAGGGAAAACCAACCTCAATTTTCCAAAAGTCCCTTCTCAGTGATCACATAGAAAATAACTCCTTCCCCTCTTGGGTTCTTATAATACTTTATGACATTAGGGAACATGTCCTATAGGATATAAAAAAGACACAGTGAATCATAGATATATCTGTCCCTCTCACTAGGCATGTGAAAGTAAGAATTATGATTTCTCTACATCTATGGGCTCAAAGTACTGATTGTTGCACTTTGCGCATCCCTAGTACTAAATAAATATTTGTTAATTTGAAAGAATATCAGCATTTCTATAGCACCAAAGATAGGAATTGTTAACGTTTCATCTGCCTGGCATGTTATTTTAAAATCAACATGAAAAGAGAATAGAGGTTTAGCATCCGAAATCAAGGCAAGCGCCTCAAGTGTGTGGTGAGTACCTTCTTCTTGTTCCCAAAGACAATAGAGAAAAAAGAAGCAAGCTCTCTTTGAAGCTTCTTTTATAAGGGTATTGATCTATTCATAAGAGTAGAGTCCTCATGACCTAATCACTTCCTAAAAGGCCCCACCTCTCATATTGTTGCATCCACAATGGAGGTTAAGTTTCAACATGAATGTTGGAGGTAATATATTCAAATCACAGCAACATTAATCAAGAACATATGTGTGATTAAAAAATGATGGTATCGTATAAAAAGAAAACGATGCATATGAGATAAGTGTAAAGACAATCAAAACAGCAGTAATAGGATTAAAAATCTACATTGGAGAAAATAGCTAGCAAAATTGACTCATCAGAAAACTGAACCCATAATGTAAATGGAAAACTTGATAATTCTTTTAAAATGCAAAGGGAAAGATACAGAGATAAATGAATATCCCAGAAAACTTAGTAATGAAATGAAGGAATAAAAGCCAATATCCAAAGTAGAAATAAAATCTTCTTAGAACTGACAAGACAATTTCCAGACTGCCAATGGAGATCCATCAGTGGGCTAGGAAATATTGAGCCCACACATCAAACATTATTTGCCTTATACTGTGTGCAAGGGCCTCCTTGACTGGGACACGCATTCTAACCTCCCCTTTCTCTTTTTCCTGCCAAACACACCTTCTCATATAGATGGCTCCAATAATGATGGTGCCCTACCTGTACCAGGAAGGATCTCAAACCCTTATCTTTGCTTGTGATGCCTCCTCTGCCTGATTGTCTCACTTCCCAGTTTCTCTGTGGCTATTACCACCCCATGTCTCATCTTCTCTAAAATTAATCCTCGCTAGGGATCCTACAGAAGATCCTCTTTCACCCACTTCCGAACCCCTTCCAGTCCTTCACTTTACCTCACTGTAGTGTCTTACCCTCTTGGACTCTAATTTCCTTTAGGGCAAAGACTGTATCTTATTCATATGTATTGCAAGCACTTAGCCCAGTGCCTTATTACTGATAAATGCTGGTTCAGACAATTTATAGTTCAGTTTAGGTGTCTTGCTCTCCACATAAAGAACAAATGAAATAGAAACTAAGCCCTCCATATAATCCTTCAGCACAAATTTCTAAAATGGCAGAATTGCCAGGTATAGCGCCTGCACCATCCTCATGGCCTCAGTATGAAAGTGTGATAAGACTGTTAGCAATTTAGCATGTTCCATTTTTCATAGTGATGAAATTGCTTTTTTGAACTGAACTGAGAAGTATTAGAATGCTGTTACTAGAATTAAATAATGTGAAGGATTTTCTAGAAGGTGGGAAAACCACTTCGGAGAGGATGTCCTGGTCTTTGTTTAACTGATTTTGGAAAAAGGGGCCACGTAGGCATGTATGTCTTACTTCAAGAGAAAATAGCAAATAATCATTTTTAAAACTACTACAGGGAAATTTGTCAAGAAAAGAGATGTCCAAGGTTGGATAGCAGATTCCCATGTGCTATGTATCACCAATGTCTATGTTAGCAAACATATATTTATCGGTGGAACAATAATTGATGTAAAATTATCAAAAAAGATGTAATAAGTTTGAAAATACTATTTGAAATGAAATTTAAAAAATTAAATGATGTGGGACTTTTTAAGTATTTCTATTTCTTAATATTTTATCAATACTTTACATATTAACACAGCTATTTGGAAATGTAACTGCCAAAAATGTCTGACTTCCAAAGAACTGCAAATTGTGTATGTATTGGTTAAGAGGTTGATCAATGGATTAACCTATTTTTGAATCCTGACCTGACACTTACTAGATGTGTGACCTCAAAAAGTTTACTTGAGGAATCCAAGGTTCAGAAATATGTTCTGTAAACCAGAGGTAATATCTACCTTACAGTACTGATGTAAAAATTAAATGATTGCTTTAAATTATACCCTAACTAAATAATACAAACAGCTACTTTATTGAATACTATTTGCCAGGCAGTGATTTAAGCACTTCAGATGCATTAATTCTCACAATGTCCCAGACTGGGACACGTAGCAAGAGACCATGAAGTGGGTACAGGCTATTGTCCCTATTTTATAGTTAATGATGCTGGGGACAGAAACGGGGTGAGAAACTTGACCAGAGGCACACAACTTGAAAGCAGCATGGCCAGAATTGGAAGCCAGGCACTTGGATGTAGGACCCACGCTCTCTGCCACTGTGCTACAATGGTTAAATAAGCATATAAAAATACATAAAGTGCTTTACAGGGGGCTTGACACATAGAAAGAACAAAATGAACTATAATGCTTATTCTTGAGGTCACAAAGTTATAAAGTTATCCCAAGTTATAAAAGATAATCCTCTGAGCCACAGAGCTGGGCTCCCCACTCAGAGTTCCTAACCCATCATCTTCTCTGTAGGGCTGAGACAAAAGGGAAGAAACACCCATGGGCCTGAGAGTTCCCCTAGCTGCTGCTTCTAGCCCTGAGCTGATGCTGTTTTTCTCTGTGTTGCTGCTGCAGATCCCACCCATGGGCAGGGATGCTCAGCCTCTACCACCCCAGCTCAGATATGGCAAATGTAGTGTCTGTGTCTAACCTTTGTTATGTCTGGCTCTCTTCTTGCTTTTATCACTATCTGGAGCAGTGATTCTCAAACATGAGTGTGCACTGGAATCACCTGGAGGACTTGTAAGCAAACACATATGGGTGGAGGTAGTAACTCACACCTGCAATCCCAGCATTTTGGGAGGCCAAGGCAAGAAGGTCACTTAAGGCCAGTTCAAGACCAGCCTGGGACATGTAGGAAGATTCTCTACAAAATATTTTGAAAATCAGCTGAACATGGTGGCACGTACCTATAGTCCCAGTTACTCAGGAGGCTGAGACAGAAGGATCACTTGAGCCCAGGAGATGGAGGGTGAGATATGATGACACTACGACACTCTAGAGTGAGACCCTGTCTCAAAACAACAACAAACATGCATGTCACTGGGTCCCACCTTCAGAGTTACTGATTCATAGGATCGTGAGTGGGGCCCAAGAATCTGCATTTCTAACTTGTTCCAGGGGATGCTAATGCTGCTGCTAATCCAGGGACTGCACTTTGACAGCCACTGGTTCTGGAGGAGAAGTTGGCAAATGTTTGCTGAACAAAGCCAAATATTACAGGCTCAAGGACACACAGTCCCTGTTACTATGCCACTCCAGCTTAAAAGCAGCCATAGACAGACAACACATAATTAAATGGGGATGGTTGTAATTCTGTACAATTTTATTTGCAAAAATGGCAGCTGGCCTATAGATGGTAATTTGCCACCCCTGTTCTAGAGTACAGGAAACTCTGGACCCTGCTTCTTAGAAGTCAATATGTAATGGGCCAAGCAGAAGAGGTTGAGCCTACAAAGGAAACAAGGTATGTCTAGAGTAGCTGGGTATTGTGGTGGGCACCTGTAGTCCCAGCTACTAGGGAGGCTGAGGTAGGAGGATTGTTTGAGCCCAGGAGTCTGAGGTTGCTGTGAATTATGACACCACGGCACTCTAGCCTGGGTGACCGAGTGAGACTTTGTCTAAAAGGAAGAAA